ACAAAGGAAGGTCCAAACAAACTAGGATACCCATTTTTTTTCTTTATTTGCACTTAAGCACTGATAACAGCTTAATTTGTCAAGTTTTCAGAATTCAGAATTATGATTAATTAGCACAAGGTTACGTTATATAATACATTGGAAATCTGAACCAGCCAAGAGTAAACACAATTCCTAGGAGAGAAACAGAAAAGGTACATATGAATTCTGAATATTAATTATAAAATTATTATTTTTTTATTAAAAGTTTCTCTTCTTCTGTAAAAAAAATCCTATATATTTATTTTGCCCCTATTTATATTATGATTACATATAGTAGCAACTAACAGTAAAATGTACAAAATAAGGACTACAAGTTTGTTGGAAAAAATATTGCAATCGCTAAATTTTTAATTGTTTAATTAATCAACTGTTTATATTTAAATAATTTTAATTATTTTTGTTAAAGTATTTTTTTCTCGTCATTTTTAAATGAAAAATGAAGATAACAAGCAATAATTAAGCTCAAAAGTCCACTAATGTATCAACACTAGAAATTTGGGACAGAGCAAACAGGGACCTCAAAAAGTATCGATTGTACGTGTCACGGAGCAGCAAACATCCACTGTCAACCTGTCATTCCCGCCTTGTGCCTCCTGATATGATCAGGAGAACGGAAATTCATAGGACATTTTTCTTAAAAATAATGGCCAAAAATACTTTTGAAATGAAATCATTTTCGATGTAAATAAGTTTACGGGATCCCTTTTCATTAAAAAAAAAAAAGTCATCGTACAATGATATCAAAAGCCACGTTTTCAATATTTCGTACGGAAGAGTTGTATAAAGTGATAAAAAGTCGTACAGTTTGATGCTTTATATTTTGGTAGTCGCCCGCGTGGCGCAGTGGTTAGAGCGTCTGCTCAAGAGTCGCGAAGTAAGGAGTCAATCCTTACGTCGCGGGTTCGAATCCCACTGCGGGACGTGGAAACCGGTCCTTCGGATGAGACCGTATAAACCGAGGCCCCGTGTCGCAGTAGGTGCTGGCACGAAAAAGATCCCTCACTGCTCAAAAACCCTGAGTGCCTAGCATAGGACAAAATTTGTAGCCCTCCACCGGCAAGTGGTGGCGTCTCCATATGAGTGAAAAAAGAGGGACGTTAAACAATATACAATCAATCAGTCAATCAATCAATATATTTTGGTATTTTTGTGATTTCTAATGTTCAAATTTTTTAAGCATTCACATCTTTTTACAACACTTGCCGAATGCATTGCTGTTCAATGCTATTAATACTTTCGAAAGGAAAAAGGGGAAGTGTTTCGTAAAACTTTTTCTGGAACCCGTTATATATCTTTGTTTTACGTATATGACATGTAACCCTTAAGCTCAATCGGTATATATAGAACACTGGATCGACAAACCAGAGGTTCAGGGCCTCTAAATCTGTTACGTTAAACGCCCACGGTTGAAACTAGGTGTTCTCTTGCTGGTGAAAATGAATACCCCTAGAACTTCGCCCCACAGGCGTCAGCACTTCGAAAAAGATGAGGACATCTCATATTCTAGAGAGGATAATGTATAAGCGTTAAATACGAAGCTTCCTTCTAGCTTGGGCTAGTGGGTTAACCTTTAACTCAATCGGTAGAGCACTGTACTGGCACAGCCATAGGCTCCGGGTTCAATCCCGAGCAGAGGTACATAAAAGTCTTTGATACCGAGAATTTAGAGAAAAAAAAATGAATTAAGCGTAATCCGTAATTAACGTCACATAAGTTTGTACAGTACATTAATACATGTAGGTGGTGTTTTGTGTAATAGTAATTTCATGTAATTTATTAATTGATTATTATTGATTTATTGATCAATTACTTTACGATTCATTTACAGTGTGAAAATGGCTGCAATGACTGAATTGAATGGTGCGTTTACATTTATTGCCATAAATTATTATCATATCATTAGATATAATTCGTAAACTTATGTATTATGGTATAGCTACTGTAAGCAGGAGCAGTGACCTATATACTATTTTTACATGTAGTATATAGATTCCTTTTAGGAAAAATAAAATGTAATGTTTACAACCACTTAATAGTCCCAAACCGGTGAAACCGGAGAGGGGATATAGCTTTCCACTTCGTCTGTTCATCTTGCTGTCTAGCTGTCAAGCTGTTTGTCCCTCCGATTGTCTGTCAATCTCTTCCACATGGTTCCACATTTTATTATTTCTAAACGCTTGCAGTTATTGAACTGATGTTTGGTATGTAAGTGTATCTTTATGAGTAACAGATCAGGTTTGCATTTTGTTATGCTTCAATGATTTTTGACAAAAGTGTGGCATGTTTAATTTTTTAGAAGTTTCCACTTTTTTTCTAGACGCTTGCAGATTTTGAGTCAATTTTTTATGTGTGACTTGATCTCGATCAGTTAAAGACTAAGGTTTAATAAATTTTTATGGAATTGTGGCATTAATTTTTCGGTTTTTAGTGGGAAACAGATTACGCTAACCTTGAGGGGATATATTGCTAATGCAATGCTTTCAGAATGCTTGTTTATAACATGAATTACATCAGCATATGTAAGTTAATTGCAGCTGTTCGAATATCAGTATATACTCTGATTTCATAATGACTCCGCCTCTATCTTCTTTTGAATGTCAACCACCTACGCACAGCGTCACCTCGGCTCATTGACATTTCGTCCAAATGACATCTCGTCTCAGACGTGTCGGTCCAAGATTTAAAATAGGTCGGCCCATACATGCCATCTCGGCCCAATTAAGAATTTACTCTGAAATATATTTTCAGTTGTTGGACTTAAATTTAATACCAGTTGAAACAACAGGCCCAGGTCCTATTGGGTCATCCGAGTATCATACAACTTTCCAACAATTGAATTTGGTTCGTGTTTTTAACCAGAGGCCATGAGATTCACAATTTCGAAAGACGCATGGTTGCTTATCATAACATGATACTACACTTAGCATGCTTACTTGTATGACTTAAACCCAATACCAAGATTAATAAACAGAGCCAATCTTTTTAATTCATTAATAAATAAGTTCAATGAATGAAACCATTTTACAATATGTATGACATATCTACTGATCCATGTATTTATTTGCAAGACTGACATATTAAATAATTGTAATGGAAGAGAAAAGACAGATTGCGTCACTCTTTATACTTCTGCAAAAGTCAATTTTCTTGAGAGCAAGTATAATTTTGAAAAGAATGAGAACTTTTATCAGCAGTTTGCCTTGCATGTCAAGTTAAAGAAACCATTGTCTGTTGGTATTTTACTTGAGCCTTTTCTTGTATACAGCTGACTTTGGCAGGGAAACAGATAATGATGCAGAGGTAGTACTTTCAAAGACTGATATGCAGAGGAAAAGAACCCTGAAAGACATAAAGTTCTCAGATCACATGCAGTCTATGGAAAAGATACATTTCGAAACGTAAGAATATAAATTTATAACAAGATAATAAAAATATTAGTAGATTCATATCCATCTTTTTACAAAATTGTGGTGGCATGTTTCATTCGCACATATACTTTTTTGACAAATTAAATTGTTGCAGTTTTCTTGTATAATATCCGATATATTTTTAATTTTAGTTAAACGTAAATGTACATATTACGAAAGGTAATGAAAATGGTCGTAAACTAATTGAATTACTTCCACAAAAGAAATAGAATTACTGTAGATATACATTTTTTCGTGCGCATAAATTTTCGTTGATTTGTTTTCTAAATATTTTCGTGGGTACTTAGTTTCGATGTTTTGAAAGTATTCCTATCAATTATATAGTCATTTAAAAATTTCGGGTGGAATTTAATTTTGTTGATAAACGAAAATAAATATCCAAGAAAATTTCAGCCTTTACAGTGGGTTTTAATGTTCATTATCTTCTAAAATAGTCATCTTTGATTTTAATGCACATCTGCCACAGTTCTGTCATGCACAAATCACGTGATCTAGGTCGTTGCGTGCACGTGATATATGTTCCGCTGTCTTTTTATAACAGTGTGTAAAAGAGTTTTCCGATTTTCATATTTCTTACCGTTTAAATTATTTTTTTAATGACAAGAACAGCCAATTTTGTCAGAAATTGTCAAGTTATGGCAATAGGAAGAGTGGTTAAGGATATCCTTTCCTAGATTTAGCCAGGTGAACATCACAGTCCTTTATCTTTGCTTGTTCAATGTAGATAAAGTATGGATACATATCTTTTTATCATATATAATATGTTAAAAGTAGTATGGACTCAGTTTCAATTGATTTTTTAAATCAATTTTAATTTTTACAATTCCTACCCAAGGCATCATCTAATGATTAGCAAAAATTTGAACATCATTTGTTAACAAACGAGATACAGAACTTAAAGTTCTTCATAAAGGTAAATAAGGCTTGTGCCTTGTCATTGTTTACATATAGAAAAAAATAATATTTATAACAAAATGAAATTCAGCAGAGCAATAGAAACTGTATAATTGCATTTCAACTTAACTTCATTTCTGAAAATATATACTCTGAATGAACATATATTTTAGTGTATTAACCTATGTAAACAAAGACATGACACAGACCTTGTTAACATAAAGGTTTGGAGCTCTAAATCTGTCCTGTTTCTCGATAACTACGTTCAAACTTCTGATAATATTAGAAAAATTTTTAAATATTGGTAAAAATGGAAAATAAATTTTGAAATTTTAGTTGAAACTGTGTCCACGCCCCCTTAAAGTCTAAAGGAACCGAAATTTGGAAATTTAATAATTGTTTATTTGTTAAGATTTTTTTTAACTATACTTTAAATTTTTTTAACAAATTGTTCAGCAAAAACACTGCTTTCACTTTGTAACAGAGCAAAAATCATTTTTTTTCCCCTTCCCTTCCCTGAAACAAGCATTCCAATGAATGATTGAACTTCTGGCAAGTAAATTGTCTTCATAAAACGTGTACATATTCAAAATATAATATGCTACTGCAAAGGAGTTAAGAAGATCTAAATTAAACGTTACAGCCCTGTGTTGCCTAGAAGACTGAATCAAACATTTTTGTCACAAATCACACACATACATGTATTGACGTTATATTAACACTGTGACGTCCAAGCATGGGGCAAGCATTACATTACATCTGATATTTATGGGAAATTGTCTTTGACTATAGGTGCCAAATTTCAGTGGAAAAATTGAGTTTGTTAATACCGGTATAGAGATAGTTTGCGGATTTTTGATCCCTCCTCTATTTCTTACTTTACACAATCGCATTTCTCAACAAGTTGTATAATAAACGTCATCTTGTCAGATGTTAAAATTATTTGACATTTGCAGGAAGTTTTCAATACTACCCCAAATCAGAACAGTAAAAATTTCTGAATTTTATTGTGTGTAGCTGTTATGATGGTGCTTCTCCCTTTCTTTTTTTCTGGGAAAGGGTTAAAAGGGTCTAAGGATTCCCCTAATGGTGTATGTGCAGGAGTAATTTGATCATTCCCCAAATTTGAGTCAAGGCATTAATGAATGGCTATTTTATTAATATTTCTTACCTGAACTCAAAAATGAAATTAGGCATATTCAGAATGATTTATCTATATTTTTTTTTCCCGTAATATGTCACCATCACAACATGAATTTATGTGCCATGTTTACTGTCCTTGATCTTTTTTTTTAATTTTGGGACAGCCAATGAGAGTTCGAAATCTATAGGCAGCGGTTTAAAGGAATTACCTTATTTCAATTATATATAGCTGTTTAGAAAACATTTCAAATGGGATGGACTTATTAAAATTATAACAATTTATTTTGCATACAGTCACCGTATTAAAAAAGTATTTGTACTTTATCGGAGAGGGCTGTGGAATTTTAGCCCCCTTCCAGAAAATGTCAGGTGAAATAAAAAAAAAAAAATCGGAGATTCGGCTACATTATTGCATTACGCATAATGTTGGTAATATATTCTGATCAATTATTTTGGTTACTGGTGTAATTTTAGATCCCTCGACATAAGAATTCAATCAATGGTGAATTGTATGGATATGATATTCCAATACCAACAGGAGAGAGAATATACCCAGACAAAACAGTTCTAGACGTAAGAACAGAAACATACAGAAATAACTGACATTTTTAAGATTTTTTTTTCTAAATTATTTAAATGTAATAATTATTTTTAAGGTCCCGCTAGGATTTGTTGATGCTCTATAGCAATCAGCCTTTTCAAGCTATGCCATTACTTGTTTCCTTTAATACTTAAACTAAATTTTCTTTATTGTCCAACGAAGCTCAAAGTTTGTATATTTTTTGAAAGGCTTTAAGACTAATTTTAATACCAATTTTTAATTTTTGTCATCCAGTCTTTCTTTGAAATGAGGTTTATTGAATTATAATTTTCCCGACTTTACAGTTTACTTTTGGGGGGCCTTGCTGAATAGTCAGTATTTTTTTTTTATTTTGATATGTTTTGTTTACAATTTTCTTTTATTGATTTTCTTGAATAGCCAAGTAACGATACAATCAAGGTCAAAATTTTCAAGGAAACCTTTTCATCTGAAGAGCGCCATGATGAGATGAACCAGGATTTAGTGTGTGATAAACACACACCAATCATGCGTATGGTGTAAGAGGTACATTGTTGGTGGTGACAGTTGTATCCACATTTCTGTTCTTATGTATTCCATTATTAATCAAAGCTTTTTTTTAAAAAGTAGATGTGTCTTTTTGTCTAAAAGAGGGCATTTTTTTCATGTATTTGTATTATAAAGTACTTTTTTTTTATTTGAAATTAAAGAAACTACAATTCTTAGACTTTATT